TCTTTGACATTCCTTTCTTTCATTCTTTGTAGCTTATCATTCTTAGTGGCTCATACTCCCTGAGTACTCTTGTGTAGTTTAGTATATATAGGCATACAAGATCAGACTGGTCCTGTAGTCTTGATCTTGTCTACTCTAGATAGTCCTGTACTCTTAGGCTCACTCTATATACTCTACTCTTGTCTCACTCTCTCTCTCTACCTGTTCTGTAAGTTCTGACTACATTCTAGTGCTTACATTCTGTATTTCTGTTATGTAGGATAGTTGTAGCCTGGGTCCCCTTACTAAGCCTTTAGGTCCCCTCTACACTGTTGCTGACAGTATGAGCTACTAAGAATGATAAGCTATGAAGAATGAAAGAAAGGAATGTCAAAGATAAAGGTACAAAGAATGAAGGGATGGACAAAGGGTAAGAGACTATAGAATGAACAGAGAATGAAGGAGTGGTCAAAGGAATGGAATGATAAAGTAAGGAAGGGTAGTAGTAAGAGTCAGTACACATATAGTCTATAGACAGTGCTTCTAAGGGACAGAAGTCCTGAGTTCTAGTATGGAAGGGTGTAGAACCCTTAGAACTGAAGGTAAGAGAGTAGAGAATTGTAACATCTTCTTCATCAAGGCCCCTCTCTCATATTATGTTGTCCTGGACTTGTTTTTTTGTTAGTCTAAAAGGTCTAGGGCTCTAATAAGCCCTTAGAAGCCCTTCCTCCCTCCAAGTAGAGCATTTAGCCTGCCATTTGGCAAGCTCTTCATCATAGTGAGTCTTGATTCATTTCCATTCACTTTCAATCATATTATTAACTTCCTTCTTCCTTTTAGCCTCCTCCTTTCTTGCCTGGACCTCCTTCTCTTCCCTTTCCCTGTATTCCTTCTTCTGCCTAAGCTTTCCCTAGTCTCATCCAAGGTCATAATCTTTAGCATTCCATCATCAAATATTTGTGAGTTCTCTGTTGTTTTTCCTTTCTCCTTCTTGTATAGAGCATTCCAGAGCCTAACATTAAGAAGGGAGGCCAGAACAAGCTGTGCTGACCATAGAATAGGACTGTTAAGAGATGAGGAACAAAAAGAGAGAAAAAATTATTTATTTAGCAAATGTTACAAACTAATACCCTCAACCAATGTGTCATTAGGACTGTAGGTCAGTGTAGATCAGTGCAGATCAATGTAGATCAATGCTGATCATTTTACTCTCTTGTCATGCTTTTTGAGCATTTTTAACAAATTACACAATATTAATTGAAGGACTGGTCCATTCAATATGATAAAACATACATGTTGTAGCTCTGAAGTAGAGGAATACAATAATATAATTTTTATGTTGAACACTGTAGTATAAGTAGTAGTAAAAATTTTGTCAGTAGTCTCATATTTGGAATTCATTCAATTTCAGCAGTATTGAATTTCTATACACTTTTCTACTGAATCAATTTCCTTCAGAATTCATATATATATAGTACATGTATGTATCTACATTTCTCTATTTTTTTGAGTTTATTGGTTGAGTTATGCATGAATTAGAGGGGGGTGTTCAAAGGAACGTCCCTCTTTAAAGGAACGACCAATGCCTGTAAATGCCACGAGAAGGAATCGGGCGCAATAGCAGCTAGCACATTACCTAATAAGGTAATGCGGATCTTGTTCTAGTTCGAAAGCCTTTTGGCGTCTCACAGTCACTGAGTTTTAGTTACTGATTCAGTCCAATGGCTATCGATTCGGGAGGGCAGCTTTACGAGAGCCCGAATATGTGCTGACGCTTCCATGCAATGTGTTTACCAACTGCGATTCCCTGATAAGCCGGCGGAATGTGACGTGTTTATGGTTGGTAATCCGGTACACTAGTTCGGTGTCTTGCTGATTTCTGCTCTCAGCGGATGCATTGATATCACGTAAATGGATCGCGGAACGAGCTGCGAGTTTATAGAGATGGCTCTGTCCTATACATTGTGTTGGCTTATTAGTCAAGGTCTCGTAATGCCCGGAGCTCCTGTCGAGATGCACCGGCATGCGGAGAGGACTTGCTTCTGGAGACAGTCAGAAATAGCTCCTCCAATAGAAAGGCAATTCGATTCTCATACCGCAGCCGCTCTAACTCAAAGTACAGCCAGTTAACGATTTAAAGGGTTGCCGTCTCCTTCTGCTTCGAAAACGGTAGCCATCCACTGGATATGCCCTATCACGCACTTGACGCTGTTGCTGTTGCTTGCATTCTGACCTGTCTATGGCAGTTCCGCTCATGGCGAAAGAACCACGACAGGCCTCCTCTCCCTCCAGGGCCTAAGGGACTTCCTCTCATCGGGAACACGCTTGATATGCCTGAAGCGGAAGAATGGGAGGCGGCACGGAAGTGGGGAGAGAAATATGGTGGGTCGCATTATTAATCACCCTAGTACAATGAATCATTCCATGGCTACAAGGCCCTGTTGTCCACGTCAAGAATCTTGGAACGTCATACATTTTTGTCAACTCATATCAGGCGGCCGTCGACCTGTTTGAGAAGCGTGGGTCTATCTACTCTTGTCGCCCAAAACTCGCTATGTGGGAACTGTATGTTCCATACTCACTTCAAACGCAACTTAATGCTGAAGAAATGTCTTACGATTTGCAGAGAGAGTTGGGATTGGTTTGTCCCAGTAATGCCTTACGGAGACGAACTACGACGGGCAAGGCAGCTGATGTACCGTTTCTTCCAACCCGCTGCGGTCGTTGACTACACGGAGACGCAGACCCAAGCTGCGCACAAGATGCTTCAAAGCCTACTCACTTCTCCTGACAAGTTTCCAGAACTAGTCAAGCAGTATGCCCATCCCTATTACCACTTCAACAAATATGTCTTCTGACACCTTGTCCTGCTATAGTGCGGCTGGAGAGACCATTTTAAAAATGTCTTACGGCTATCAAGGTCCTTGTTTCGACGCTGTTATCCATTTTCATGCTTATTGGTCTTTGCATAGTCGCAGAGAGGGATGACCCATATGTTGCCCTCGGGAACAGGGGATTAGACGCTTTCACTGAGGCGGAGGGCTTCTTTCTTGTGAATGCCTTCCCTTGGTTGAAGTATCTACCTGACTGGTTCCCTGGAGCTCGATTCAAGGAAATCGCAAAGGAAGGCCTTAAGAGCTCGCTCGGCGTATATTATGACCAGTACAAGCTAGCCAAGAAAAAATATGCGAGTCACTTATTAGAATGGATGAGTAATGCTTTTACTGATTCAGTCACTACTAGGCGGAAGGGTCGGTTGTTCCTTCGATGTCCAGCAGATTGATAGAAGCAAGCATGACACATGACGCGGTCATAAATGACGAAATGTTAATTGCGAAAGTTACGGGCACATCGTACGGTGGTAAGTCTAAGATACCATAGGTTTGGTTTATCGAGTGGCACTAAAGTCGTCAACTGCGCAGCCGGAGCTGACACTGTACGTTATGGGATCCTGACATGATGCTTCATCTCCTGACAATCTCGCTCCAGACTGTCTCGGCTCTTCACTCGTTCTTCCTTGCTATGGTACTTTATCCAGAAGTTCAGCAACGTGCTCAAGAGGAGCTTGATAAAGTGGTAGGAAAGGATACGTTACCATCATTCGATGATCGACCGAACCTGCCGTACCTCAATGCTGTCATCAAGGAAACTTATCGGTATGTGGAAGAATGAAGTGTCTATGAATGCAGTACCAATGAATTTTCTAGCTGGCAGATCGTTGCACCACTCGGTGGGTCCATCGCTCATCCAATCTCACTTTACTTCTTGTGCTTATTCTAGTCCAGCGGTTGCACATACTGTGACAGAAGACGACGTATACGAAGGATACTTCATCCCCGCCGGAGCGGTTGTTCTTCCGAACCTTTGGTTAGTTTCAGCATTCGCAAACAATTAGTCAAATTTTAAATTTGCATTTATTATAGGGCAATGATGAAGGACCCTGCGACATATCCTAACCCAGACGTGTTTATTCCTGAACGCTGGTTACCAGAGGATGGAAAGGAGCCGCCTCTGGATGTACACAAAATTGTTTTTGGCATTGGCCGGCGGTGAGCGTAAATTTAAGGTTGATTTGGTATTACACTTTCTCAGCATATTCATTAGAATCTGCCCAGGACGGCACTTTGCAGATAATGCTGTGGGTTACAGGCAAATTAGCAACTTTTGAGGACCACTGAAACTAATGCTTCTCGTATAGGTCTTCATAGGTGCAGCGTCCCTTCTTGCAGCGTTCAACATCTCCAAAGCACTCGACACAGATAGTGTTCCGATTATTCCGGATCAGAAATACTACACACACTTCGTAAGGTCTGCACTTCATTATCAATATGCCAAAATTGTCGTGCGTTTAGGTATATTCACACTTTCATACTTTACATAGACACCCCAAGCCGTTCAAATACTCCTTAACGGCTCGATCAGACAAGATTGCCTCCGTTGTTCACCAGGCAGTCGAGGCGGCGAAGTAGGTATCACGAAGAACCTCTTCTGCGAAGTAAGATTCGATAGATAGGATAAACTGTACTTCAAGATAAATAAGTTCCTTGTTCTCAGCTCCATGTTCAGCTGTGGTTCTTGGTGGTTCTATTACATACAGTATCTGCATTTTTGCAGATTCAAGTTGGTAACGACAAATGAGGTCAAGGCAAGTAATCAACAATAACGAATGGCTATTGAAACGGTAAAGAAGCAAAGGTGACTTGGACACTTGATCTACTACTGCTTCAACAGTCCCGTACTAAAATAACGACAGAGCCGTGAAAGAAATAACTATCTTCTAAAGCAAAGTGTAGACCGAGAAGCGTGCATCTTGTGATGTGGTGAAGTCATAATTAACACATGCCAAGTGCTGCAGGTCACATTCTGGGAAGCCACCCAGGTCAGGTAGTATGTAGGGTATCAGTTTCTTTTTGGATTTACGTGAAGTGCGAATTACAAGAGCTGATACTGCAGCAGATATTGTAGTATGGTATACAAGAGATGTGGCGAGGGATGGCCAAACTAGTACTGGAGAAGTCAGAGAGGTCCCTCAAGGAACATCGGTTGTCCTGATTCGTTCACTTCTCGGACAGTCGAAGAAGGTTTGATCGGGGAGGTTGCGAGCAGCTGACCAGAGCTACCACTTATGTGCAAAGCCAATTGAATACACAAGTAGTGCGGATGCAGAGCCCACGGAAATGACCAGAAAGAGGTGTTATACTGTAATGCTATTTTGTAATAGAACTTGATGGTGGCACGGAACCAGCGGACAACAGTGAAGAGTCCGAGGAAGCGAAAAGAGATGTGGACAATGCCATCAGGAAAAAGTCAGATTTCTTGTAATTTCTTATAGACTTTGTAAAGTAACATATGTATTGTATATACATTATAAAGTAATTATAAGGCTTGTAATTGAATTGCAATGTTTAAATAAGACATATTAATGTATATAAAGACTACATAAGTACTAGGGATGAATAAAATCTATTACATGTTTTATACTAACTTTGTATAACAACCTAAAGTGTTATGCTTGTATTATATTTAAATTATAATCTTTAAGAAAGAGTTATACTTATAATATAATAATGTAATAATTACTATTGTTGCCTTATAATTTATACAAAAGGTATATTAATGTATATCATACTTAGATTATTTATACAAGCAGTTTACAATTATTGTAAAAGGCATTTCATCTACTTGTAATAATTACATCAGTATGTTTAGAAAGCTATATACATGTCATATTTCTTTTTACTGTATTACAAAGTAGATCAATAATTTTATTTTATACCTAAATGCAACAATTAAAATGTTCTATCAGTTGACGACTCATATTATAGTTGATTACATAATCAACTGCTGAAGATCGAGAGCATAAATGACGCATTTCTCTTCGTCACTTACCTCCTACCTTCACCATCTCCCCAACCC